TGAAGGTCCGGGTGAAGGCACGAACAGAATCCTGAGACATTCCTTCCACTTCAATAACAAAAGCAAATAACACCACCCCTTAGCATTACACATGCCCTACACACTCACACAGCATTCCCAGTCATGGTCTGACTTGATATTCATTCGTGCTGGAGGGGACAATTTTTCTCTGGGAGTCAGAGTGTTCTGAATGGGGAAGGCAATCTGTTCCCCATGACAGGGATCCGACTATGTGCTGGGACCAATGAATACCCCTCAAAACTTGCAGGTTCAGAGCCCAGGTTCACAGAGTAAGGATCTAGGGTGAGAGCTATCAAATTCCACAGACTGTGTCCCTAATGCCCAAGCTGTGTGGGGTAGACAGGCATATACCTGGTTCAGACCAGGGTGGTTTGAGGACAGAGTGAGGACAGGAGAACACAACAGGAATCGGGGAAGCTGGGAGAGTTCTGAGAGGGAGCCCAACCACCAGGGAAGGGGCAGTGGGGCAGCTGAGGAGGAGGTTCTACACACACTCACCTTCCTTGAACACTCCGTTGACAGAGAAGCAGAGCATCAAGTCCTAAAAGGGAAGAGCCCAGGTGCTAAGTCACCTACACTTCCTACCCACCTGTGGCTTTCTGAGGGCTACCCTTGGGAGGAAGCAGGTGCTCACCATCTGGAACCATATGTCCACCACAAAGGAGCTGAGGTCATGCTGAGTTTTGGGCAGCACACAGAGGGAGTGCACAATGTCATGTTTTGTATGCTTCAGCAGCTGAACACGCAGGTCTATGGGGGGGGGGGGGCGGAGAAGCAAGTGAAGGTCAGGGGTTGCCACACCCTGGGTCCTATGATTAGCACCTCACATCTCTTTCCCCTGCCCAATCTTCCCCTATCACACATGCACAGGGGTCCTGGACCTTCTTCATGTTCCTGCTTTCCTTGAGGTACTCGCACAAGCTGCTTCTAGGGAGAGAAAGAGGAACAGGGAGTGGTGGTCTGGCCAGTGTGCATGCTTCCCGAAATGCCCTGTGTCTGCTGGGAGCCACAAAGCCCATGAACAGAGTCTGGGCTGTGCCACTCACGGGGCTGGCTCCTTGGGGTTGAAGGGAATGGTCCGGGAGAAGCAGGCCTCATTGTGGTAAGCACCGAGGAGACCCTGACGGTCTCCAGAGTCATAGATCAAGTAGTACCTGTGGGGAAACAATGAGGACAGTCTCTATCTGGGGTATGGACCTCAAATGAGATTTCAAGACACAGTCAGCAGTCCTGAGCTTGAGTGGCCTCACCCATCCTAGCCCTCCACTTTCCCAGGTTCCCAGGAGTACTTACTGCTGCAGGAATTGCAGGACCAGACTCTTCAGTGCATCAGATCCAAAGAAGCTTCCCTGAAATCGCAACAGCCCTCAGGACCACAGCTGATATCCCTTCCTCACACACCACCCCAAACCTGGCTTGATCTGCCCTCCTCACCTTGCAGGTTGGTAACCTCTTGTGGGCTGCAATACCAATGCTGGTTGGTGAAGGTGACTCCTGGCCATCCTGGGGAAAGGAAGAGGAAGTGAGTGTTGCTGACCAGGAGCGGATTATGGACAATCAGGAAAAGGATGGGCCCAGGAGAGGGTGAGGCTCAGAGGTCAGATATGAAAGGGACATGGAGATTACATGGGCAAGGCTACATTTGAGATCACTGTCTTGGGGTGCTTGATGCCTGTGGAGAACGTGGCTGAAGGAGATCCGGAGCCCTTGTTGGGTTTCCACATAGATCTGCACATCCATGAGGTTTAAGGGTCACGAAAATTGTAACTTCTTCAAGACCTAAATGGCCTCTGGGCAGGTTTGGGGTGACATCAGTGCCAGTAGAGGACTCAATGATCAAAGAATACACCTACCAGGCATAATAACTTGGAAAACAGTTCCAGGATGGAGCTGCAGAAATCCAGATAAAACAGAAAAGTCAGTGAAAGTTTGCAGGTGTCCTTCATCGTGGGAGCAAGCACACTTACACCTGACACATGGCCAGTACATCCCACCTACACTGCAGTGCCCCAGGCTTGCAGGGCCCTTGGCACCTCCCTTGTGGACTGACTTAGAGGAAAAGCACACACTCTCTCTCCCCATCCCTTATCATTCCTTTCTTCTGCCTGACCCCCTCCTCCCTCCCTTTCCCCCTGGGTGGCTCCCACCTAGATCATCCTGACTCCCATCTCCAGATTCACCAGAAGCAACATTTGGATCCCAGGGTCCAGGGCTGCCTTCCCCTCCCTGCCTCCCTTCTTTCCTCTAGGCCCCCACTGAATACTCCAGAGAGAAGAGGGAATGGGGTGATAGCCCAGGGTTCTGGTGCCTCACTAGGGGCCCAGCATTCTGCAGGACCATGACACCCCCAGGGATGGCCCAGAATGCTGGGGCACGGAGGTGAGTGAGGCATGACCCAGGAGACAGGGAGGGAGAGGAATGGGGATGAGGACAGAAGGAGTGAAGGAAGGAGGGGAGAGGTGAGAGAGACAGGGGAGTAGAGACAAAGGAGGAAGAGAAAGCAAAGCAAAGGGAAAAGAAAGAAGCTTTACCATGGTGGTGGGGCCAAGGAGGAAGAGAAAAGAAGGGGGAAATGTCTCCCCAGCTGCAGTGCATTCCTTCATTTGCCCTGGCTGGCCCTGGCATCCAAGGTAGGAATGGAAAATATGCAGGTGTTGGGCTGGGGGCCCATTGGATGCTGGTTGAAACTTTGTCACCTGTGTGAGCTCAGTCTGAGCTGGGCATGGGGAATGGGGCAGCCACAGGGGCAGAAGACCTTCCCCAGAAGGAGTAGAGGATCAATCCCCAGGTCAACATGGGGCTGAAGGTCTGTGGTCCCCCCTCTTATGATCACCACCTTCCCTCCTGATGGCCCCAGTGCCCCTGTGCCTGACCCAGTCGGTTCCTTCCCTGAGGCATTATACCCGTTGCCAGGCTACCCAGGGCTCCACTGAAGGAACAGTCTGGATGATGTGACATGTGGGGGTAGGGTGGGAAGGGGGTGGTGCCTCTGAGAGGCCTGTCCTTCATCTCCTCAAGCTCCTCTCCTCTCTGCCTCCCATTCCTGCCTGAGGAAGCCCTCTGCTCCCTGGCAGTCTCCCACTTCTGGCCCCCTGACTCAGGGAACCCTGGTTTCTCTCAAGGAGGGCCCAGCTCCTGGCATTGGGTCAGAGGAACAGATGTCATGATGGCAGCCCCCCAGGACCTCAGCCCTCAGCGTGGGCAGGAAAGCCACCATGGCTGCCTGGAATTGACGGGAGGAGGGGGGATACATTTGGTTCAAGGAAAGGAGGGTCCCTCTCAGAACAAGGGAAGGAATCCCTGTCTCAGCAGGGAGGCAGGACTGCCTGTCTCAGCATGAGGCCCTGGCCTGGATGGAGGACCCTTGTGAGTCCAGGTCACAGCATGTGGCGCACAGTAGTCACTCTGGTCCTAGTGAGGAAGGGGGGCCCTTATTCACGGATCACACTCTGGGGAGGGCATGCTAGAGAAGGCTGGGTGTAGATAGCCAGCAAACAGACCTCAGACCAAACAGGTGAGAGGATCAGAGGAAGGAACGGAGACCCCTAAGCACAGGCGAGGGACAGAGAGAGAAGAGCATAGGGCCTCTGTTCCTCGCAGAGGAACAGGGGTGCTGTCCCCTCCAAGCAGGCACCGTCAGGCATAGTTCAGAGCCCCACAGGGTGACGGAGAGTATAACTGACCTTATGTTGGTTGATTTATCGGGAAAGGTGGTGCACGGGGGCTTCTGTTTGCACTCATGTCTTCTCGCTGCAGTCTTTTGCCCTTGTCCAACTCCCCTGCAGACTTCAGGGGAGTAATTATTGGAAGGAAACGCAAGGATCAGAGAAAGATGGCCAGGATGACCCTGCACCCCCGGCCCTTTCTTTTTCCAACAAATCCACTTCCCTGACTCTCGCCACCACCCCATGAGCACTCTCACCTTCTTTTTAAAGAAAGATCTGGGTACCACACCTTACCTCACTGTTGGAGAGGTTCAAGGCCTTGATGCTGGAGGCATTCTGCATAGTGTTGGATAGACCATCCATCTGGTAGGGGTTCTTGTCGCTCAGGTTCGAGGGCAAAAGCTATGATGAGGAAAGTGTTAGAGTGAGGACCCCAACAGGGGTTATCTGAGACCAATCTGCCTCTTCTACCTAATCTTCCACCTTTGCCATCAATCCCAGCACTGGGCCTGAGTTCTCACCTTGAACATGTTCTTTTCATGAGTCTGCCGGGAGGCAGCCATGCTGTTTCTAGGATTTGGTACCATTTCAATATCTCGGGTGACCATGTCTCCGAGAAGCCGAGGGGAGGGAATCACAAGGCTGAGACAGACCCGGCTGGTTACAGCTTCAGGTTACCCTCCCCACATTACCATCCCCAAGTCTCCTTTCCAGACAGACTTCTCTGATCTTACCTGCCCTAGAACTACGTCTGTAGACATACCAGGGGCAAAGCGGACTCTCTGGATGTTAAGAGATTGTTAGAAGACTACATATCTTTTGTTTGTGGTCAACTGCAGAGTTAGAGATGGGGTCAGTGGCTCTGAGTCTGAGGTAGAGACGGGGGATGGAGGCAATAGGTGTGGGAAGAAGATATGGGTCTGGATATAGATTCACAGCTGGTCTTGGGTCTGCATTACTTTTATCTGATCCACATTTTCTGGTTTCAGCTCCTTCTGCACAGACTGGGGTGCATCGGAGGGGTGGACAAAGATAGATATCTGTAGGGAACCCAAGAGGGGCTGAGTAAGCACCAGGAAATCTGATCCTTGGGATCAAGCAAGACCTTGCCCCTGTCCTGCCATCTTGCCCCTAACTAGCCCTGGCCATGCCCTTGACACACACCATTTCATTATTCTCATTCCAGATCTTGCCGTTGACACTCTTCAATGCGAAGGCAATGCCAGCATTCTCAACAAAGAACTGGTCCTGCATTTTCTCATAGTGAAACTGTAGGGTGAATGGCAAAAGAAACAATATGAGACCCAAGCCACTGCTCATTTGCCCTGTTTCTTCTCATCTGCCTCATTGTCTTCTCTTACTTCCACTGGGGTGAAGGGGACACTGCATTGCTTCTGAATCAGATTCAGCAGCCACTTCTCATCATATCTGATGCCAAATGGAATCTAAGAGTAAGAAATGGGAGAAGAGATGGGAGAAGAGATTGACACAATGGAAACCAAGGTTAAGATAAAACTCAAGCATGTCTTCCTTTCACACCTTTTGTGTGTGTGGGGGGGGGGCGGTTCTTCAAAATAATTTCTTATGATAGGACAATATCCATTATTGTGAACTTTTGTACCAGTCATGGATTTCCTAAATAACCTTTCTTTCCATCCAAACACTTTCTTCAAATAATCAACTTAAGATGTTTAACATGAACTTCCTTATATAAAGTTCCAAGTGATCCTTGCTCAAGGAAGGATGCCTTAGCCTGTCTCTCCAACAGAGACCCCGGAGACTCGACCCCCTCCCACACTCAGCTTAAGCTAAACTGAGACTTCCAGGGTGGGGCTGCTACTTCTCCTTGGCTGTAGTTTCCTCTGTTCTTAGACAACCTACCCAATTCTCCCTTTAGTCAATCTGTTCCCTTTACATTGCTTCTCTGAGTCTGCCCTTACCTGATCTAAGATGCTAACTCCTAGTAGTAAAAAGACGGATTACCCACTCCTCTCCCCCAGAAAAGTACCTAGCATCTCTATATGAGTCCAACATAATTCCCTCTGTTCACCTCCTTCTGCACATTGGGTTCATTTTGCCAGGACACTCACTGTGATCTTGAACCAGCTCCTGGAGGTCTCATCCTGACTCTCCCCCTCCATTCTTGTCTCTGGACGCTTTTGCTCTCCTTCCATGTTAGCTTGCGTTTGGTCTTGTATCTGAAAACTGCCTCTCCAATGACAGGATGGAATGGCATAGGGAGCACTGTGGGGAAGTGGAGAGAAGGAAGTAATCCACGCATGCTTGGAAAGTCTTCTATTACACATTCGCCCCACTGTACAATAAAGTTTGCTCAACCATTAACCTGATTCCATCATCCTGCACTCTTCCAGGTTGAAGAAGAGAATGGCATATTCAGCTACAGGGCTATGTAATCCACTGGCTGGTACATTTCAGCTATGGTGACTGGTCATTTACTATCTTCCTCGGGTGCTCATGCGACTGTCATTTGTTGCTGGATCTCCATCTTGCTGCTGGTGGGATGAAGAATCAATGCCAGAACGGACATGCCCAGACCAATTGTTATGCCTCCGTCAGTAAACACCCGAGCATCTTGCTCTTCTTTGTAAGGAGTTACCTGTGTTATTATGCCCTGAAATTGAGAATAGCACATCACTGGTTCCAATATCACAAAAGGTTCCGGGGAAACATCATGGCTAATGAAGAAATATCACTGACTTTATCGTCTAAAATGAAATGCGGCACAATGCTAAAAAGGTTGAAAGACTTCCCTGGGGCTCCACTTCCCGGGAGATGAGAAGTGGGGAGCATTCACAGCCAAGAAGGAAAAAAAAAAAAAAAGCACAGAGGAAAGGGTTTGGGCCTAGGGTTTAACCTGTGATGTTAGCCCTTGCTCTGCCCTTTGCAGGCTAGGTGACCAGGGACAAGTTGCTTATCATCTCTAACTCACAATTCCCTTCTCTGCCCTAGGGGGATAACAAAATCCATGCTGGAAGTTTGGTGTTATGGTTCACAGGTCAAAGGTGAGTTCCCACCTGAAAAAAAATTAGAGAAGTGAAAGTTACATCTGATGAAAATATCCAGAAAAACTTAGAGAGACATAATATGGAGAATACCAAAAGAGAGGGGGGAGAGAATTAAAGGAGATGTCCCCAGAATGAAGGAGAGGGAAATGTGGAGAAGTGGCATTTGATGGGATCTCGCTTGAGAAGTTTCCCAAAGTAACAGGATAATCAAGTCAGTATAACAATACTAATAGGAGACAAAGTCTGCTTTAAGAAAAAACATTCCTAAAGATGTACATTTCACAGTGATGTTAATGTAGCACAAACTAAGAAAATTTGTGACTGGAGGAATCAAACTAAAAGAAATATTAAAGGTTCTCCTTCAGGCAGAAGAAATAGGATCCCAGATGGAGGCACACAGTTGCAGGAAAGAAAGACTAATGGCATTTGTGAATATGCAGGCAAGTCTAAATGAGTATTGACTATATGGCACCATGACACTAATTTCTTCTAGGGGTTTAAATATACATAGAATTAAAATTCATGGCAATGCATTGGGAGGGGGTGAGAGGAATCAAAGTATCCCAAAGTTCCTTCATTGTCTGAAGAGCTTTGAAGAAGTAATTCACATCACACTGTGAAAAGGAAAACAAAAATTACATTATAGTCAGAAAGGTAAACACTACAAGAATGGCTAAGTTCCTTCATTGTCTGAAGAGCTTTGAAGAAGTAATTCACATCACACTGTGAAAAGGAAAACAAAAATTACATTATAGTCAGAAAGGTAAACACTACAAGAATGGCTAAGGGATGTTTAATTGTCTGGCCAAATGAGGTAACAATCTAATACTAAAAACAAACAAGCAAACAAACAAACAAACAAAAAAACAGTATTAAGTCATTCCAAAGAAAGGAGAGGAAAAGGGCGGGCAAACCATAAGATACTCTTAAATACTGATGGCGGGTGGGGGAGAGGGGAAAGTGGGTGATGGGCACTGAGGAGGGCACCTGTTGGGATGAACACTGGGTGTTGTATGGAAACCAACTTGACAACAAATTATATAAAAAATTAAAATAAATTAAATAAAATATTGACATAAAAATACATGTGCAGTCAATATGGCATACAGAAACCAAGTTATATATATATATATATATATATATATATATATATATATATATATTTACATTAAAAGTTTCAGACTGGAGGGGCGCCTGGGTGGCTTGGTCGGTTAAGCGTCCGACTTCGGCTCAGGTCATGATCTCACGATCCGTGAGTTCGAGCCCCGCGTCGGGCTCTGTGCTGACAGCTCAGAGCCTGGAGCCTGTTTCAGATTCTGTGTCTCCCTCTCTCTCTGCCCCTCTCCTGTTCATGCTCTGTCTCTCTCTGTCTCAGAAATAAAATAAAAAAACGTTAAAAAAAATTAAAAAAAAAGTTTCAGACTGGATATTCCAAACAGAAACACAGATATTATGAGACTGGAAGGAAAACATTCCATCAAATGCTCCTTAAAAGAAACATCTGCAAAATTTAATGATCTAGAAAATTTGGAAAAAAAAAAAAAACTTGGCAAAATGTATAGCATTTACTTACTGACCTCCCAAAACCTGGTGTAACCATATTACTAAAAAGAAATTTTTTTCAAGAAAAAAAATTACTAGATTAAAGAGGGGGTTTCATTATAATAAAAGGTTCAATGCAATAAGAAGCCATCAATACAAAATCCTAAATTTGTGTGCGTGTCTTAACACAGAGCAAAAATGTGCAGAGCAAACAGTGAGAGTAAAAAGATAAATGGATTGGGGCGCCTGGGTGGCGCAGTCGGTTAAGCGTCCGACTTCAGCCAGGTCAGGATCTCGCGGTCCGTGAGTTCGAGCCCCGCATCGGGCTCTGGGCTGATGGCTCAGAGCCTGGAGCCTGTTTCCGATTCTGTGTGTCTCTCTCTCTCTGCCCCTCCCCCATTCATGCTCTGTCTCTCTCTGTCCCAAAAATAAATAAACGTTGAAAAAAATTAAAAAAAAAAGATAAATGGATAAATTCACGATTACAGCAGGAATATTAACATACCTCCTTGAGTAACACATAAAATGGCAGACATACAAAGCATAAGAGACTCTTAAAAACTGAGAACAAACTGAGGGTTGATGGGGGGTGGGAGGGAGGGGAGGGTGGGTGATTGGTATTGAGGAGGGCACCTTTTGGGATGAGCACTGGGTGTTGTATGGAAACCAATTTGATAATAAATTTCATATATTGAAAAAAATAAAAATAAAAAAAGTAAAATGGCAGACATAAATTCCACTAGGTGGAGAATATTTTAAAATCAGAATAAAGCAAATTAATAAATGTACTTAATTGACATAGAACAGTGCACATAACCATTACACGTGGAACATTCCAGAATAAGTCATGTGCTGGGCTATAAAGCAAGCCTCAAGAAACTTCTATGGAGGTAATACAATCTACCCTGAATAGTTTATATAATAGTTAAGGTAATAGTGTGTTCTCTGCCACTCCTTCACCTGTAGTAGGCATCCAAAGAATATTAATTTACAGCAACCCCCCACTCCCTTGCCTCGCACGTGGCCAACCTAGGAGCCCCTCCCCACTCTCCAAACTGTGGACTCTCCAAACCGTGGGGACCACATAAAATCAGATCTATCCCTTCAATCAGTGAAAAAAAAAATCCACCTGAGCCATAACCACTTCCATAGGAGGGGAGTTTTTCCATGTGGAACCGGGATGGGAATGTCAGGGCCCACCTGGCACATTTCCTCAAGAGATTAGAGAAGAGTGAGACTGGGCCCTCATCACCCCTTCTCTAAAAGGGGGTTGGCTGGGTGTCCTGTGGGGTGGGGTGGGGGAAGGGACCCAGCAACCCTTGTAACTTCTGGGGATCTGAGACCAAGGCCTCATGCTGGCCAACTCACCCATGGTGTGGCCTGAAGGCAGTGACCTGTCACCAATGTCCTCACAGGCTGCTTATGAAGAGAACCTGTGGAATCTGGAGCTGGAGGTTTAGAGAAGATCAAGGAAAGCTGCTGAGGACGAAGAGAGCAGGCCCCAAATGACTTTGTCAGCCTCACACAAACAAGATGGAGTCCTTACAGGAAGTCCCCTCCTCAAAGTCATGAAGAAGAGAGCCCCGGGCACCAGAGGTGATTACTGTGATTACTGCCCCCTGAGTTTGCTATCAGCCTATCAGGGAACTGTTTCTAACTGAACCAGCCCTGCAGAAAAGGTCAACTAGAGTCAGGGGGCGTGGGACCCAGGCACTTGCAGCTACAAACACAGGGAACTCTGTATGCCAAGCTCTGTATCCACTTACAATACATCCTGTTCCCTCATTCTGCAAACCCAGAGAACTCTGAGTGCCAGCTGTAGGCCAGCCTCTGTACTTGCTACATTGCATCTTATCTCTCATGTAGTCCTCACAACAGGACTCTGAGATCACAGTTACAGGCTTTGCAAGGTTACTGAGACTTAATGAGGTGTTGGAGTTTTCCTGGAGTCATTCAGATGCTACCTGGAGAAACAGAGACTGCAACTGAGCTCCATGGAATGGGGGTGACATGTAAATGCATAGGTAGCCTAACTAAATTCTTGCTGCAATATGTGGGATTTGCTAAAGTTGGAGCAAGGTAACGGAATGTTCTGAAACTAATCACATGGCTGGCATTATCTCCCGTGCATCCCAGAGAGATAATAACAAACAAGCAAACAAACCACCGATCCCCCATCCCCCCAAAACAACAGCAAAAACCAACACACACACACACACACACACACACACACACCAGATCTGGAAAGTATAAAGGAAAAAAAACAACAACAGAGTTTCGTGGGTCACTGTAATGGGAGTAGAATGATATATCTATATCTATATCTATATCTATATATAGATATATAGATAGATATAGATATATAGATATATAGATATATAGTCAGTGTAGGTAGATGCCCCTTTAGTGGTCAGAGTGAGAATTATAGCTCTGAATGTCTCAGACCAGAGGGCTTTGCAAGGGGGAAGGAAGGAAGGAGGCACCTGGGCTCCAGTATATCAGCCAGGAATTTCTGGAATTTCTACTTCTTTCTGGAATTTTCTACTCTGTGCCCACAATCCCTTCCTAGATATCCATGCCCTGAGAGAGAAACTTCAGTTCCTGAGAGAGGTGAGGAAAAATCTCCACATATGAGACTGTGAACACTTGGGTTTAGGGAAGTGTAAGACAGAAACACACATACATACACAGATAAACTGTCAAGTCAAAGGGTGAAGTTTGTTATTTGCTTATTAAACACTGTCATGTGAACATTTTCATAACGTGGTAAATATATATGAACTTTTCTTGTGAATTGGTTATTATATATTTTCAAGTGTTTCTCTCAACAAATTTGCCTAATCGCAAAATGTTAAACATTAAAAATGTATACATAGAAAATGGAAATCATTCTGCACCTTCCATCTATATATGATCCCCGCGCCCCAAATAACTGATATCCAAGATGGCTTATGTAAATAGATTGGTACACATTATCCAGATGTGTTTCTCTTTAAGTAATGTGTATACCTACCTTAAAATATCTGTGTAGTTATGTGGTTATAGATACACACTTTTTAAAATTTGCCAACACGTAAATAATGTTCTGCAAATTGATTTTTTCACTTACTTACTATACCATCTCCAGATTGCCATTTCTTCAGTTAATGTGGTGTGGCATCTTTCCAGATGTCTGGAGAAACAGTTTGCTTTTTACATAAATTATTTGTTGTCATTTGTCCCTTTCTCCACCAATAGACAAAATCCCTTTATTTTCTTGCCTGGTAGCACAAATTCTGCAATATTGTTGGCAAATATTTACCCCATCTTTTCAAACTTTTAATTTTTTTCTTTCGATAGTGCAGAAATTGCTTTAATTTTCATGGGGTTTCTTCACTTAAAAATAATACAGCTATGACAGAAAACAAAACAAGAAATACTTAAGGTTACATCAAATAATAGTCTAGTGGGAATTCTTGATCCAAAGCCTTGAAGGCTTCGGGGCACAGTGGAATAAAGCTTCAGACCGACTTCTACATCTGCAAATAATGGGGATAATAACTGAGTACTTGTTAGGTTGTAGGAGATACCATGTGAAGTGCCTCTGGCTTAAAATAATTCTGTAAATGATCATTTCCTTCCCTTGGTGGAGGTTACTTTTCCTCTGCTTCTGGTTGGGCCACACACACCACCCCTAGGACAGTACTATCCATGTGGCCGCCCCTATCCAGGCCTCTAGGCCTGAGGAATGGGATTTCATCTCCACCATCATCTTCAAGGCAAAGACATTGGGGAGAGGGTTGTTCCAGTACCCTGTTGGGTACCATAACATGAACACCTGGGAAATTCGAAACCAACTATGTGACCCAAGGAAAGCTTTTAACTCTGTTACAAAATTAATTGGACAAATTAAAGGGATGTTAAAGAAACAAACAAACAAACAAACAACTCTTCTATCCCAAACAAGAATGTCACGTATAAAGAGATGCATATTACTGGGAAAATACATGGAATATGTTTTAAAGGCAAATGTTTAATATTCTGTTATATAATAAATCTGATCAGTAAAAGAGTGTTATTAAAGTCTATTGAAATAAATCAAATAAGAAGTATACATTACAAACTTATAAGATTTAAACATGTGTAAAACAATTATATATGCATGTATGTTTGTGTGTACATATATTTCCATATATACACACATATGTGTACATATATATACAGAGAGAGAGAGAGAGAGAGAGAACAGTATATACATATTGTGAGCAAAATTTGGGAGAATATATATGTTCATGTAAATGTACTTGCATAGTACTATGCACAGGGAAGTATATCTGGGGAATATAAACTAAATTACCAAGGATATACATCTTGTTATGTAACAAGATAAAGAGAATATACAAAAAAAATACTCAAATACACATTTCTGCACTGCATTTGATTTTGAAATAAGCACATTAACTTGAAATCCAAAAATAACTGATATAAGATTTTATGTCATTGTAGTATATAGCTGGTTGGAAAATTCATTACAAAAATCATATGTATGTATGTTGCCTACCTGTGTATATCTCTATCTATCTATCTATCTATCTATCTATATTATTTTTTCCCACATTATGTTTGTCTCTCAATCACACACACATATGGGTTTCCTGTCATAGTTGAGAGGGGAGAGCTGGAGAAAAGTTCTTGCTACTGGGTTTAATGTACATGGGCTCTGAGTCACCCTTAAGGCTTCATTTTCCACAGAATCTTCCAGAAGTTTCCCTCTGACCAGGACCTTCCTCCCTTTCCCCTTCCAAGGCTCTCTGCTAAGTGATGATCAACCTGCCTCTCTAGATATGTTCAGATGGTCAGATGGCACAGACTTCCAATTTCTGAATTTTCTCCAGTGAAAAATATTAAAAGTTATATTTTGTGTGGCGAGTGATGAAACAGTATGTAAAATGAAATCATGCTCCAACTGCTTTACCTAACCATCTTTTTCTTCTGCATGGTTTTGCAGAGAAAAATCATAGTACAATATCACACACCTCTTAGAGGGCTGGTGGATGTTATAGGTCTTAGGTGGGAGCAGAGAGGGCAGAGGGGGTTCAAGAACTTTCTAGAATTGTCTTGTTAAGTATTACAAAGTTTTGCTCAGCATGCCAAACTGCTGTGTAAAGGATTTCCACACTGGACCCCCCAAAGCGATGAACCAGGTTATAAGGTATTTCCTTCTTGCTCTATCTGGTTAGTCTCCACCCTCTCCTCTCCTGCTGGCTAATGCTTCCTTAGCCTCCAATCTCAGCTTAAGCATTCGCTTCCAGTGAGAAGTCTCAGACACACCCTTCTGGTTTGATTACCATTAGTCATGTAGTAACCCCATCACCTTTACCATCTTCAGATACACCTTTCATGTGAAAGGGGACAAAAGACCGTGAGCTCAAACGTTCCCATGGGCTGTGGCTTCACACAGCGGACTGAAGATTCTGAAGTTTTTCCAAGTATTTTACCTTGAAGATTTGCCACAAGTTTGCCTCTTCTACTTTTGAGGGGAATGTCCAGGACACAAGTCAGTTCAGAAATTGAACTGTAGAGTTATCCCACAGACAACAACTAGGGCATGTACTTCAGAGAAGCTGTTGAGGCTGCAGACTGAAGTTTCCTTCTCTAAAAGATCCAATAAGAGTACTGTAATGGCAATCTGTAATTTTGAGGAGGCATGGATTTGCATGACACAGAACAAATGAAACTTCCAGAGGTAGAACTGCCAAGTTAGAAAGTTGTTGTTCATGGTGGTGGTGATAAATATTTATATCTATCTATATCTATATCTATATCTATATCAATCTATTTATATTTAATTAAAACAATTAACATACAGCATTATATTAGATTCATGTGTATAATATAATGATTCAACAGTTCTGTACAGTACTCAGTGCTCATCACAATAAGTGAGGTCTTTTTTTTTTTCACTATATGAAATTTATTGTCAAATTGGTTTCCATACAACACCCAGTGCTCATCCCAAAAGGTACCCTCCTCAATACCCATCACCCACCCTCCCCTCCCTCCCACCCCCCATCAACCCTCAGTTTGTTCTCAGTTTTTAACAGTCTCCTATGCTTTGGCTCTCTCCCACTCTAACCTCTTTTTATTTTTCCTCCCCTCCCCCATGGGTTTCTGTTAAGTTTCTCAGGATCCACATAAGAGTGAAACCATATGGTATCTGTCTTTCTCTGTATGGCTTATTTCACTTAGCATCACACTCTCCAGTTCCATCCACGTTGCTACAAAAGGCCATATTTCATTCTTTCTCATTGCCACGTAGTATTCCATTGTGTATATAAACCACAATTTCTTTATCCATTCCTCAGTTGATGGACATTTAGGCTCTTTCCATAA